TTAAAAGGCAAGGGAGATGCTAATTTCCCCCAAACTCACATTTAACACTGGAGATTGGGGATTACTGAAGACTTTTGGCGTGCCAAGGAGTAAAGCATATTAATTCAACTGTTGGTCTCGTGATGAAATAGAAAGCCGGGAGAACTGGAAGGAGGAAAAAACCAAACTTTCTAACTGTATTGATTTCACAACTGAGTATTAATATTAAATGTCGTTTAAAGTCCATTTATATTGGGGGGGTTATGACACGAGGTTGTCAGCTGCTCATCGATTTCTACTTTTGTATTTAGAGGCTGTACAGGAGGTGGGAATTAGTAATGCGATCCCTGCGTAGGCTGTCTTTTTTTTTTCTTTTGGCCATAATGTGCACTGAGGTACTCAGGATCCTCTCAGGGGCCTTTTGGTGCTCATTCCTCCCATGTATTTACATAACTGTCTGGATTTATAGCACCCCCCCTTTCCCCAAAGGCTTTGGAGGGGGAGGGAACATGGCCATAAAGTATAGAACTCAAAACACAATAACATTTGATCGAGGTAGTCTGAAAGCCAGTCCAGATAAAGAGGAGACTGAGCCCTACAAGGAAAGGTTAAGGGCCTTGGGAATGTTTCATTTGGAGAAGAGGACATTGAGGGGGGACATGATTGCTCTCTTTAAATATCTGAAAGGCTGTCATTTGGAGGAAGAAGAAGAAGAGATTGGATTTATACCCCGCCCTTCACTACCCAAAGGTGTCTCAGAGCAGCTTACAAACTCCTTTCCCTTCCCCTCCCCACCACAGACACCCTGTGAGGTAGGTGGGGCTGAGAGAGCTCTGAGAGAAACTGCTCCTTTTCAAGGACAGCTCTTATCAGAACTACGGCCCAAGGTCATCCAGCCAGGTGCAAGTGGAGGAGTGGGGAATCAAACCCGGTTCTCCCAGGTTAGAGTCCGCGCACTTAACCACTGCACCAAAAGCAAGGCGCTTTTCCAGTTGGCTGTAGAGAATAGGACAGGAAGCAATGGGTTTAAATTATATGCAGAAACATATCGGCTGGATATTAGGAAACACTTTTTCACAGTTAGTGGTTCATAGGTGGAATCAGCTGCCTAGGGAGGCGGTTAGCTCCCCTTCACTGACAGCTTTCAAGAAGAGATGCTTTAGGCTGGTCCTGCATTGGACAGGGGGTTGGACTAGATGGTCTGTATGGCCCCTTCCAACTCTATGATTCTATGAAAGATGTGCAAGCTTGGAGTGTTACTAGCTAGGAACACCACTACACTATTTGAAAAGTGGAGGGCAGCATGGCTTTTCAGACCTCTTTTTATGGATAGGGTCCTCTCACTGGCAAGCTCTATTGCAAAGGGGAAAAAAAACCCAGCAACATCACTGATCTCACTATATCACTTCTGGGTAACTCTAGGAATCACAAGGAATCACAGACATTCCTAGAACTTCCCTTCATCACTTACAGGTGTTACCCAGAAGTGACACAATGATGTTCAAGCTGGCAACCATGTTAGCTGAATTGCTTTATGTACAGCAATTGGCAATTTATAAATGGGTCCTTGCCAACTATATCAAGGTCCTGTTCCCAACAAGGGTTACCAGAGAAGGATGACGAGGCTGTTCTTGTAAAAATAAATGTCTTTTACTTAAAGAATAAATCTCATACAAACAATACTGATGCACTCACACATTCAGTCAGATTCCTCAGAATTACAGTATTAAAATAAGCACTGTTGCATTAGCAGGTGGGGGTGATGATGGGCAATACTTATCTGTCTTCGCAGCTTTGGTTGTTCCAATGAAGAATGGATGGGAAGAAATGTAAACTAGGGAATTCACACATGACCAGAACCAGCCAGAACGTGTGGGTCTCTTGACTGCAGATCAAGAGATCAAAGTAGAGGCAAGGGTTTGGGGATAGCAAGTGGGACTTAAGAGGAGTAAAAGGCAGACAGGGGTTGTTGCGGGGGATGCTAGCTAGGAAGGGCCAGGTGAATGGTCCTTTCCTTTTATAGGGGATCCATTAGGTGGGAGGTAACTGTTCCAACTTGTGGACCCACCTTCCTGTTAGTCCGTCCCAAAAACAATCCTATTGGTTGCCTATAGGAGTGGGAGGTTACTTATAAGGAGTGGCCAATATTGTAATCTAAAACCTTACTCAAAGGAGGGCATCTGGGCAGGTGTGGAAACCTTGGCGTCAAGATGCTCCATTGTAGTGTAGATGAAGCTGGCCATTCTCTTTGTGAACCAAATGTCCATTTGGCAGGAAATACCAATGCAGGAACATAGCAGGGATGTGTCGTACGTGACCACAAATAATTCTGCAATGGGGGCTGTCTCTTCTCAAAGCTGTTGTTTCTTACTTCTCGCAATAATGGAGGTGTGTGTGCTTCTTCACCAGGCTGGTAACTGTGTAGCTGAAACCTTATTCATGTATAAGGCTTGTGCAGGCACTTCTATGTGTTGCATGACAACAGGTGACTTAAAGTGTACAGTCTTCTGTGTGTGTGCACAGTCCATTGTGTGTAGCAATAAATATAGTCCATAAAACAAAATATCAAGTTCATTCTCTAACAACCAGCAGGTGAGCTGGGGGCAGGGACGTGGAGGGTACATGGGTGCAGCATCACTAACATCCCTTTTCACTTCTGGGTAGCTCTAGGAATCACCAGAAACTCTATGGTTTTATCATAGAGTTTCCAGTGGGTCCTAAAGCTACGCTTTGTTGCTTACAGGTGTTACCCAGAAGTGATGTAGCTTGGCCTAGCAACCCTAAGGGTAGCAGATGCAGTTAGCTTTCTCCTCAGCCAGAGGTCCCAGAGTTATATTTAGACATCATGGAGAAAAAAATGTTGTGGTTAAGAAGATGTCAAGGGGGGAAATGGCAAGTCAGAGACAAGCTGAGCAAATAATGAATAATTAAATTGTGGCATTCACTGTCAATGAACATAGTGATGGCCACAAACATAGATGGCTTTAAAGCAGGGTTAAGCAGATTAATACAGGACAGGTCCAGGGACGGTTGCTAACCATGGTGGCTAAAGGGAACCTCCATATCCAGAGGTAGAAAACCTCTGCACTACCAGTGCCTGGGGGCATCACCAGAGGAAGACCTTGGTTTCTGTGCCCTGTTTATTGGTCTGGTTTGGTGTAGTGGTTAAGTGTGCGGACTCTAATCTGGGAGAACCAAGTTTGATTCCCCACTCCTCCACTTGCACCTGCTGGATGACCTTGGGCAAGCCATAGTTCTGGCACAGCTGTCCTTGAAAAAGAGCAGTTTCTGTCCGAGCTCTCTCAGCCCCACCTACCTCACAGGGTGTCTGTTGTGGGGAGGGGAAGGGAAAGGAGTTTGTAAGCTGCTCTGAGACACCTTTGGGTAGTGAAGGGCGGGGTATAAATCCAATCTCTTCTTCGTCTTCTCCAGGAAAACTGGTTAGCTGATTTGGGGAACAGGATGCGGCACTGAATTGGCTACCAGCTCAACCAACAGGGCTCTTGTGCTCTTAGCACCGGAGTTGGGCACGAATCGGCTCATGAACAAAAGTCTGTGACAAATTTTGGCTGGTTCATGCTTTGCAAAGTCAAGTTCGTGGCAGGGTGACTGGAATGAAGTTTCCACAAACTTTCCAGCTGTTTGTGGAGATCCGTGCCAGTTTGTGAGCAGAAAGATTCCCAGACAGTCTCCGTTCAATAAAAAAATATTTGCAAAACTTCAAAGCAAGAACTTGGAGGGCATGTAGGGGAGCATCTTGGGGGTGTCCTCTGCAACTTTGATCTCTCTAGCTTGCACAGGATCTGTTCTATGCACTCCTGAATCTCTTGAACCTGTGACTGTCAAAATGACCAAAGTAAGGCACAAAGTAAGGCACAACAAACTTGTACAAGCTTTATGATGAGCAACTCTTAGTAGTTTACTAAATTATATCTCAAAGAATAATTTAAAGTAACTTTCTTGGTATATGCACTATATTTCTTACCTTTCACCCTTATCCTAAATTAACTCTTACAGTTCTACCAATAAGTGACTTACAGTTGTGTACTAAATAGTGTTCTTTAAACGATTGTAGTTTTAAGTATTGTATACTTATCCTATATAATGCTGATATTATTTACTGTAAATGAAGAATTGAAAATTGAATAAAATATAGTTAAAAAACAACAACAAAGTACCGTAAGGCACAAAGTGGTCCAAAGTAAGGCACCGGGGCCAACAACTGTTTTGACAGGTGCAGGTTCAGGAGTGTATAGAACTGATCCTGTGCAAGGTACAGAGACCAAACTCACGGGATTTTCAGCTGACTCTCCTCTACTTGCCCTCCAAGTTTGGTGAAGATTGGATTTGCGGGTCCAAGTTAACCCCCCTCTAAAAAGGTGCTCCCAGGAAAGTGCTTTCTGGGGAAATGACAGGTGGTAATTTCCCCAGAAAACACTTCCCTGGGAGCACCTTCTTTGGGGGGGCAGGCGTAACTTGGACACTGTAAACCCAACCCACACCAAACTTGGAGGGCAGGTAGAGAAAAGTCATCTGGCGAACATCTGTGAGTTTGGTGTCTCTAGTGCACCAGGGTGAATGTTCTACCACCTCACAAAGGGAACCAGTAGATGACTAAAAATTTGTGACGATCCGTGGTTCACAAATAGAGCATGTCATGAACCGTGAACCGAACCGCATTTTCCTGGTTCATGCCCATGCCTAATTAGCACTCCATCGTCGGCCTTCTTCTCTCCCCCCCACCCTGGCAAATTGTGTTGGGAAGGTTTCTGCACACCCTCTAATATTAGTGACTTCTTTCAGGACCTCTCATTTGATTCTCCTTAAGGGGAGATTTCTTTAAATGTAATGGATTTTTTTCTTGCCTTATTCTTGGAAGACCGATCAAGGTAATGTTTTTTTCTTCCCTATATGTGTGCCGTTGTAATAATAAAACACTTCCTTGTGTGGTGTAGAAGCTGTAGTGCTAAATCACAGTTTGCTTGATTGAATGTGGTAATTCTGGATTCTGTGTGTTTCAGTGCAAATCCCAGGACCGGTGGAAAACCTGCGGGCCGTATCTACCTCACCTACCTCAATCCTTATCACATGGGAACCACCTGCCTATGCAAATGGCCCAGTGGAAGGCTATAGATTGTACTGTACTGAAGTCGCTACTGGGAAAGAACAGGTGAGCCAATAACAGAATGTTATGTTCTGCCAAAACATACCAGGATACCAGTTAAGTTCATTCCCTCCTGTAGGGTTGTTCACTCTGCCATTGCTTGACTGAGTGGTGCATCTCTGGGTTGCCCTAGGACAGGGGGCCCCAGCGTGGTTCCCATGGGTTCCATAGTGCCTGCTAACACCTTTACTGGCATCCACCAAGTGTGTTTTGAAAGTATATGGGGCCAGGTGGGTTTTTTGACAAGCAAGACTTCTGATTGGCCGTTGGGAATTTGATTGGCTGTGCAGATTTTTTTAAAACAGTGCTTTGGCATCAACTGCCCCTGCAGCACAAGAATCTTCCCTTTGTGACTGAAGGTCAGCCATGGCAGCCATTTTGTGGTCAGCTTCATCTCCTGTGGCAGCCATTTTGTATCACCCATTTTGTGCCTGCACTCACCATGCTGTGTCAGAATTTCAAAAGTGTCCGTGGTCTTAAAAGTTGAGGACTCCTGCCCTCAGAGGAACAGTGGTCCAAAGTAAGGCACAGGGCTAGGGCTGCCAAGTGGGGGCAGGGGGTGGGTAAACCCCCGCTTCGGAGGCCCGATTTCTGCCGCCGCAGAATTGGGCCCCGGGGGGAACTCCGCCCCCCGAAGCGCAGCGTGGCTGCGTCACCGGAGGTGACGCAACCACGTCAATCACGTTGGGGGTGTAGCCCCAATCATCAGAGGGAAAACTCTATGGTTTTCCCTCCGACGATCGAGGCCACGCCTTCAACGTGATCGACGTAGCGCGTCACTTCCTGTGACGTGCTGGTGGGGCGCATGCACAAAGCGCGCGCGCACACACATCAAAGAAGGCTCCCCTGCCGGTAAGAGAATTGGACTTGGCAACCCTAGGGCCAACAAAGAGAGAGTATCCAACAGAGGGGAAAAGAAGCCCCTGCACTCCTTGGTCTGTAGTTTGGGATGACCTTTCCTCCATCACACTGATGTAGTTTCACAAAGTAGAATTTTTGCTCACAAGACTCCACAGCTTAGAGGGAGCATGGAATGTGATTAGATAAAAAATAGGGTTTCCAACCTGCAGTTGGGGCCTGGAGATCTCCTGGTATTACAACTGATCCCCAGATGCAAAACTGAATTATTCAAGAGAGCTTTTCTACACAGGCAATAGAGTCGCACTGTACTAAATGATTCACAAAGTTGCCTAGATCTGAAAGATGAATGCGATATGAAGAGAAAACAGAATATGTTACTTAGATAAATTATTAGGTACTGCAGTCTATACTACTGTATTTAGCTTACTGAAACTAGAATCCTGCTGTGTGATTTTTGTACCATTTAATGTGCCGTTCTAAGATTTATGCTTTGCTTCAGTTCTGTTTTTGGACTTCTGATTGTACAACCCTAATCCCATTGCATTGTTGGTTGAGTGTTCCATCTATCAATTGTATTGACTCCCCCTGTGTATTCTGCCTTGACTCCAAGTGAGAAAACCAGACAACGAATGCCCTGGAGAACATGGCAGCTTTGGCAGGTGGCCTCTATTGGTACTATACCTGCTGAGCTCCCTCCCTTCCCCAAACTCCACCCTTCTGAGTCTCCACCCCCCAAAAGCAGCTGAGAGTTACCAACCCAGAATTGGCAACCCTAGTGAAAATGCTGGGGGGGATATTGGATAAGAACATAAGAGACGCCAACGTTGGATCAGGTCAATGGCCCATCCAGTCCAACACTCTGTGTCACACAGTGGCCAGAAATACCAGGTGCCATCAGGAGGTCCAGCAGTGGGGCCAGGACACTAGAAGCCCTCCCCACTGTTGCCCCCCCCAAGCCCAAAAATACAGAGTATCACTTGCCCCGGAGTCCCTATCCATACCTTGTGGCTAATAGCCACTGATGGACCTCTGCTCCATATGCTTATCTAATTCCGTCTTGATGCCGTCCATGCTTGTAGCCGCCTCCACCTTTTGTGGCAGTGAATGTGGATGAGTATAGCTGACTCCATCTAGTGTAATAATTTGGGAGGCAACGGCCTCAGTGCTCTTTTTTTTCCTAATTAGAAATTTTCCTCTTCTAAAAACGTGGTTGCATCCTTTTAACAAGAATTGTAATGTGACAAATGAATAAGTCCAGCTTCTTTGGGGGAAAACCCCCCAAAGTGCCTAGATGGGATACCTGCGGTGCTAGCCCTATCCCACAATTGGTTTGCCAGGTCCCTTCTGGCAACTGATGGAGGATGGGTGGGAGAACTTACCAGGAGAAAAAGAAAGGTCCAGGCCATGTTATTGGTGTCACACAGGAAGTGATGTCATCACACCAGCGACTTCCGGGTGGCATTCTGGTATTTGGCCAAAAACTCTACGGTAAGCTGGCTTCTACCATTGAGGTTTTGCCCAAATACCAGAGTTCCTCCTGGAAGTCGTTGGTGTGATGATGTCATTTCCTGTGTGATGCCAGCAATGCGGCCTGGAGCTTCCTCTTTTTATTGATAAGTCCCTCCACCGGCCAATTGGTGGTGGGGACCAGGGAGTCTGGCAATCCTACCTACACATGGCCCTGCCTTTGTTTAAGTTTGGTTTCAATTCTGGTAAGTCCTTCTATAATCAACTTCCTTAAAGGGGACTTCCTGGGGATTCTACGTAAGCCACCTTGATTTACTAGATGGGAAAAAAAAGTAGGATATGAGTGAAATAAATAAGCCCTTCATGACAGAGTCTGGATAGCAGTCAGATATATGTTTGGTTTAACAATTCCCTGCCCATAAAAATGGGTTATTCATGCAGGATAATAACAGTTGAATTACCAACTGTGGGATGTCAGGTTGAATGCACAAAACGTAAACCAAGTCTTAGTAAAAGAAATGGCTTTTTCAGCCATTGGCATGAATGTTCTGACCCGTGTAATGTCTTTGTGCAGTAATGCTGGTCTTGTTTTTATTTTGTGCCTAGAATATAGAAGTGAATGGCTTATCATACAAGCTGGAAGGGCTAAAGAAATTCACTGAATACACCATACGATTTCTGGCCTACAACCGTTATGGACCTGGAGTATCGTCTGAAGATCTGACAGTCAGGACGCTTTCAGATGGTAAGGCAGAACTAAAAAATGTGTCCCCACGGGTGAAGAGAACTGCTATAGAGCAGACCTCATGTTTGATGTCTTTCAGGTCCATTCTGCATCTGGCATTTGCTCCATAATTTTTTCAGCACCCAACGTGGTTCCCCCTTGTATCGGAGTATCTGTTTTCATTGCCTCGCCTCGGATCCTAGTTTCTGCATTGGCTAGTGTCAGCTTGCCATCTATTTTGTCACCTGCTTATTGTTCATTTCCTTCCCGAGAGTTCCGGCGCCTCCCCCCCACCAAAAGCCCTGTGTATATCTGTAGTGTATCAAGTCCTGACAAGTCCCGACAAGTCCAGACATGTCCAGGGACAACCGTCGAGCTTCGCTCCAAGAGACAATGGACTATGTGGATCCTAGCCTGCTCCAATCAGGGGGCTAGGTTCCTGGCCGAGAAGCCAATGGGACTCTCGGCCACTGTAAATAACCTATTGGGAAGTGGGGGTGTGTTTTGGGTGGCGGTTTCTGGGGGAATATAAGCCGGCCTGCGAGCCGGCCAAAGCTGTCTTGTTCCCGATGGAATAAAGTACGCTTTGCTGAAATCACTCTCCGTCTGCGTACTTTTCAGTATCCCTCCTTTCTCCCCAGTGGGTACCCAGAGTTGCTTACATTGTTCTCCTCTCCTCCATTTTATCCTCACAACAACCCTGTGAAGTAGGTTAGGCTGAGAGTATGACTGGCCCAAGGTCACCCAGCAAGCTGGGGACTTGGTGGGATACAGTGCCATACAGTTCACCTTCCAAAGCCTTCATTTTCTCCAGGGAACTGATTTCTGTCATCTGGTTAACGTCCACCCCCCCACACACACAGACTGTAGCCAAAGTCCAAGCCCATAGACTAAAGTGGTGGGTGGATGTTAACCAGACTACAGAGATCAGTTCCCCTGGAGAGAATGGATGCTTTGGAGAGTAGCCTCTATGGCACTGTGCCCTATTGAGGTCCCTGTCCTCCCCAGGCTCCATCCCCAGATCTCCAAGGCTGATTTCCCACAAGCGCTGCTCTGCGCTTGCTCTTCCCTTTTGCCCTGATGGTACATGTCAATTTCACACAAGCTGCTGTGTGGCCGCATTTTGCCACGTACCATCGGGGCAAAAGGGAAGAGCGAGCGCGGAGCAGCGCTTGTGGGAAATCGGTCCAAGAGTTTCCCTGCCTGGGTCTCACAACCCTACTCCCCACCCCCCATTTTAGCGAAGAAGGACCTGGCAACCCTTCCAAGGACACTGGATTGTTATCAGACCTGGGTTGCAATGAGAGCATGCACACACACACGTAAATGCAAGAGAATCTGAAAATATTGAGTTGTAAATGCAGAGAAGTCCATAAAAAGGAAAGAGAGCATCTCCCCACCCACCACCCGCAAATCGAAACCTCCTCCCCCATGCACCCTGTGTTAGCAGAAAAAGAGTTTTTTTGCTTCAGGGTTGCTATTTGAGAGCATCCCATGACTGACGCATGAGTAAATGTATGGAAGCCAGTGGTGCTACTCTCATGTACAGCTGTTTCCATGTAGAAGAAGAGATTAGATTTATACCAGTCTGGTGTAGTGGTTAAGTGTGCAGACTCTACTCTATTGGTCGCTTCGTAACAGCGACCAATCAGAACGATACCATTCCCTAGGAGGGAAAGACTCCCATTGGTCTTTATTCTAGCAATCTCATTGGTTGTTATTTGTAAATAGGCGTGGCTACATTAGCCCGGTTATGTTTAAAAGGAGCATAAGCTCCCACTGTTTTCTGTTCTGGTTTCTTACTGAGTTTAGTGCTTGTTCGTTACTTCTTAATAAAGCTGAATCACTTGCTGAATCACTCTACGAGTCCTTTGTTAGCGCGATCTAACACCACCCATTCCTTATATCCCACCCATTTATTTGTAATCTTTTGACATTTCTCCTCCCATGTCTCTTCAGTAATTATCTGTGCGAATATATCTGATTGTACGCGTTCAAAGACATAATTATTCCAATTTTCCATTGTCCATTTGTGCCTATCCCTCCATCCCAATGCTATTACAGCCATCCCGGCTAAAACCATAATTTTATATAACTCCCGCTTATTTCTTTCCACTTTTTTGTTTCCCAATATTCCAGAAATAAGCAAATCCCTGTTGATCTCTACATTAACTTGAAATAGATCAAAGATAACCCTTACAATCTTTTGCCAAAATTCCTTAACCACTTTACATTCCCACCACATATGGGCGTATAGACCTACTTCTTGGCCACAGTGCCAACACTTTGGATTCATTCCTTTAACCATGTACGGCAAGCTGTAGTTCTGTCAGAGCTGTTCTGGAAAAAGAGCAGTTTCTTTCAGAGCTCTCTCAGCCCCACCCACCTCACAGGGTGTCTGTTGTGGGGAGGGGAAGGGAAAGGAGTTTATAAGCCGCTCTGAGACTCCCTTGGGTAGTGAAGGGCGAGGTATAAATCCAACCCCTTCTCTTCTTCTTCTACCCTGCCTGCTGCATCCTAGACTCTGTGTCACACAGTGGCCAAAACCCAAGTGCCAGCAGGAGGTCCACCGGCAAAGCCAGAGCTCCAGAAGCCCCCCTACTGTTGCTGACACCAATCCTGCTATGAGAGGAGCCTTAATTGTAAGACGGTTAAAAATCATGATACAAACTAAACTTCAACGTGCTTGACTTGAGATCAGTGGTTCAACATGTGCAGATTTTGTCGTAAGCAGGGGGGGGTTCATTATCTTTGTAAAAGGTTCACTTGCGACTCAGTGACCTTCCTTGGTGCTCCGCTCTATTGTTCCTCCCATTGACATTTCTGCGATGCGTGTTCAAGTGCCACTTGCACCAATCTGTCTCATTGAGGAACCTTTTTGTAACACAAAGCAGACCCCGAAAGAACTAAAGTACCTTGTGCGTATCATTATAGAAAACAAAAACAACCACCGACAATAGGTGAAACATTAATTTTGCACTTAATTTATGGAGATTGAATTCCAGCTTTGGAGAGGAGGCCTGTGGCCCGAGCAGTGAACCTTGGCTACCAGATCGTGATCAAGTGAGGGAAAGGGTGATTGTTATTAATGCGGGCATCTGGAAAGTTCTCCTCCAAAAATAGTGTTTTCGGAAGGTTTCGTTCTCCTGGAGCAAAAATGGTCAACGTGGCACTAGAGGCAGAAATTACATGCCTATACCTGCAAGTATCTCAGGTGGTTAAGACGCTGAACTGCAGGCTGTGAAAGGTCAGTAGTTCAGCAGTTCGAGACCCGGGTGCCACATGATGGAGTGAGCTCCCATCTCTAGTTCCAGCTCCTGCCAACCTAGCAGTTCGAAAGCAAGAAATTGCAAGTAGATAAGTAGGTACCACTTTGGTGGGAAGGTAACAGCGTTCCGTGTGCCTTGGTGTTTAGTCATGCCGGCCACATGACCACGGAAACGTCTTCGGACAGCGCTGGCTCTTCGGCTTTGAAATGGAGATGAGCACCGCAACCCTAGAGTCGGATTTGACTGGCTTTCGAGCAAGGGAACCTTTACCTTTTTACCTGCAGATGTGCGCAGCTCACAGTGAAGTACAGGGGCTCCCTGTCGAATGTCCCTTTAGATGTCATCTGGCCAGCTAGCAAGTGGCACACAAAAGAAAAGGGAGGTAGAACCCAGCAGCAGAAATAAATGTGACAGGCAAAGCCTGTAAGAGCAATTATCATCACCGATGCGTCTAATTCTCAACAAGTTCAAATCTGTAGGTACTTAAATCCAGAGATTGGAGCCATGAACAGACAAGACAGATCTTTCTACATATCTGAAAAAGCTCCAGGTTTGCAGAAAAAAAATCCAAAGTGGTGGGATTCAAATCATCACTCTACCATGGAGGCTCCCATTCTTAATACAGTGCATTTGGCTGTGGGGAACTCTCAGTTAACATCCTGGCAGAGAGAAATTAAACATCATAATGTGGTTATAGAGCTTTCTCTACTACAAGTATCGGTTTGGCTTAAACCGTTCCAACTTCCATGCTGTGTAGGAGGCAGTGTTCCCTCTAAGCTGAGTTAGTGTGAGCTACCTCACAGTTATTTTAGCCTTTGGCTCACACATTTTTGTCTTAGCTCAGGAAGATGGTTCCAGAGCCAACTAATTTAGGCAGCAGCCAAATTGTACTCTCACAGCTTTAATGCCAGTAGCTCACAAAGTAGAATTTTTGCTCACAAGACTCTACAGCTTAGAGGGAGCATTGGTAGGAGGGTCTCTTTTCTTCTTTGCAGACTTTGCTTCCCCGTGTACAGTGTCTGGAGTGGGTCAATCCCATTACCTTGAAAGATCAATAAAATGGAATTACACTGTAAGCTTTGAGACCAAATCATGTGGAATTGCTGCTGTTCCAGTTCCAAGAATTGTAAAACCAAATTTAAAAAAAACAAAATAACCAGATCAAAGAAAATATTAACAGTGCAAACCATTTTATGAGGGCCAAAGACATAGAACTCTAATGTGATTAATCTGTCTTTGACACTTAGACTGTTCTTGTCAATTACTTTATTGGTTTCACCCTAAATACTTGTTACACATTTTTTTGACATTATAACTTTCTCCTTTAGGACATTCCCTGCTTATTTAGATTAATAAAAGCTCTGGGGTGTGCTGATTGATGTAACCAGATAACAAAACATCAATAGCCTACCTGAGATAACTTAATTACCTTTTGAATGTCACAGGGTAATCAACATTACTCATCCGGTCTGTTGTTTAATTGAAGCGTCCACAGCTCAGAAAGTAGTCCCAAATATATCATGTGCTGCGGTCACACGGAGCAGTAAGCACGCAAGAGGGACGGAAGAGAGGCGGAGTTTCTGGGCGCGATCTCACCGCAACATCTGGGGAGCGTAGAGCTCCCGTGGCTGATCCGTGGCTACCGTCCGAAGACGTGCAGTAAAAAACTAGTACCTCCGAGGTACTAGTTTCCGGGAACTGCGCAGCAAGGGCGGGTGCCTGATCGCGCCCCTGCCGGACTCCCGTGGCATC